CATAGCATTGACAAAAATTGTTTGTTTCTCAATGAAACCCTTTAGAATCTGTGAAGTCATGTACATACATTATAACCATTTTTTAACCGACTTCAAAAAAGGATGAGGTTCTCAATTCGACTGTATGTTCTTTTTTTTGTATGTATGTTACGCGATGACTCCGGTATTTGTGAACCGATTTTCATGATTCTTTTTTTGTTGGGAAGGGGGTACTTCCATAGTGGTCCCATTTCAATTTGAAGAAAGTCATCCACCTAGAAGGGTGGCTGTTCACGCATGAAGATTCATTTTTATAAATAGCGCCTAACTGTAATTTAGGAGCAATTACTTTAATGGTTGATTTTGCTATTTCATTATTCAAGGCGTTTTTCTCTCAATATACTTTGAGTAGTGAGAACCGATTTTTATTATCTCCAGTGTCAAGTCCTGTATAGTGGCGAACTAGGGGATATTTCAATCCTCAAAAAGGTCGGTTTTTTTAGTACTCTGTACTGAGATTATTTTATTTTATTGACACGTTTTCTTACGAAATCACTCTGTTTATGACATGTGCACATAATAATGAAAGTTCTCTGTGTCTATAGGACTAAAATTTTAGCTAAAAAAAAGTTTAAAAATTAAACTTTTTCTTTTATATACTTACATTATGGCGAATATTAAAGATTGGTTTGAGAATAATTTTAATTAATCTTAGTTTATTATAGTTCTGAATTTCGAAAAAAAATCTTAGTTACCTAAAAATCTATTTTGGATCGCTGTAATTAGGCCATTCTGTTTGTGTATGCATGCATTGTTTAATTTCTATACAAAAATATAAATTATTCGATGCTCCAAAGCAAGCAGGTGAAATTACAGGCACATGGGACTAGTCAACTTATGTCTCAGGTTCACAGGCGCAGTGGCAGCGTCTTTCAGATCTTTGCAATTTGAAGCTTTGAGTGGCACTGAAACTGACAGGCATGTAGCTTACCACAAGGCGCACGACGTGTTTACCTCGCCACTTGCAAAAATAAAAAAATCCCAGTCGCAAGTGACCTTAAAATTTATATTAATTACCTACTTTAAAGTATCACTTAATATGGTACCTTAAATGTTATTGGATTGCTTCCCTAATTTTATAAACAGCTTATTAATTCAAGACATGCTCCCGACTCAGCGTAAGCCTACTTCATTTGCCTAAGGAACCCTAAATCCTGAGTCGTAATGTTGGGGCCATGAAATCAGCAATATTTTGTACTTAAGTTGTTTTTTGCTTTAAAACATTATTATAAATATTTATATAAACGATCTAAAATGTTTCATAATAGAAATGTAACTAAAGATCTGCGCGAATGTTATACCATTAAATAAAAAAGATTTTCCTTTGCCCATGAAGTAGAGTTTTATTTTATTTTATTTTATTTTACAGTTGTAGGGAAACTAACAGCTAACTTATGAATAATTACAAATAAGTAGTACTGAGGGCCAATTATAAGTTTCCACAGATAAAATTTAAAAAAGTGTACATTATAGGTTGTTTATAAAACCGTACTATCATGCATTTGATTTATATAAATATAGATATAATACGTAAGAACCTATTAACCCATATATTAATTTAGAATACAAAAAATATGAAAATGAACTAGATAACTAATAATAAAGAAATAAAGTAAATTATTACTAACATAATCTTTAGGAATGTGAACAAGAGAAAAAATGATTGCGTAGTAATTGCTTCAACTTGTTTGGAGAAGTATTAAAGAAATCTATATCGTGCTGCCTCGCTATCCTATTATAACTGTTACTCGTTCGGATGAAAAACGAATTTCGCCTATAATTTACTCTCGCAGTAGGAACATGAAGTGTGTTGTTATGACGAAGTGAACCCCATGGAACACACAAACCAATATTACTAAGGAGCTCTGGACAATCAACCGAGCCATTGGCTACCTTGATTAAGTATATGACATCAGCTATCCGTCTTCGCTCATGCAACGGGAGCATATGAAACCTTTTACACCGCTTATAATAATCAGAAATATAGATTTTAGATCGAAACTGCATGTAGCGTAAAAAACGTTTCTGAAGTCTTTCAATTCGCGTTTCGTATATTTTATAGAAAGGGTTCCACACTTGAGAGGCGTATTCTAAGTGGCTACGTACATAAGCGCAGTAGAGAATTTTAAAGGTTTTTATAGCTTTAAAATCACGTGAAATTCGCATTATAAAACCAAGCGCTTTTGATGCTTTATTAACGATTTCATTAATGTGGATATCGAAATGCAATTTGCTGTCAAAGTATATACCGAGGTCACGGATGGTTGTTACTCTTGAGATGTCAATGTTCAACAGTTTGTAGGTAAAATTTAATGGGTTACATTTACGAGAGAAAGTACAGACATAGCATTTAGATACATTGATGTCAAGTTTGTTTAAGTTACAATAGCTTTCAAATCTGGAGAGGTCTTCCTGTAGTCGCTGCGCATCTTGAGTAGAGTTGATGGGAAGCATTATTTTCATGTCATCGGCATACATAATTATTTTAGAATAAGCAAAACACAAAGAGATGTCATTGACGAAGATATTGAAGAGCAATGGGCCCAACAATGATCCTTGGGGAATGCCAGAAGGTATTGGCATTGAGGAAGAGGTGTATCCATTTAGTACAACCGTTTGACATCTCTCTTTGACGTAAGAAGAAAACCACCTATACAGGTTACCTTTGATACCGATATTTTTAAGCTTACGTAGAAGCACATTGTGATCAATGCGATCAAAGCATTTACTATAATCGGTATAAATCACATCTACTTGAGATGGTTCAGACATATGTTTAGCCAGATAATCACTAAACAATATAAGGTTAGATGTAGTAGATCTGCCTCTTAGGAATCCGTGCTGCTCTGGACACAGTGCCTGCTTGATGGACGCATAAACCCGCCTATAAACGATCTTCTCTAAAATTTTTGCAAAGAGACATATTTTGAAATAGGTCTATAATTATCTATTAAGTCCTTAGGACCTTTTTTATGAATTGGCGTAATGTATGCACATTTCCAGATATTGGGTACAACACCTTCTGTTAGTGAACGACTGAATATTATACAAAGAGGGATCGACAGAGACTTATAGCATCTAACAATAAATATTGCGGGAATATTGTCCGGGCCTGAGGACTTATTTAGATCGATAGAATTCAACAGTTTGCCAACTTCCATTGGGTTGACCTCAACATCACCTATGTCACTTGAAGAGTCAATAGCATTGCCAGGTGAACAGATGGTACTAGCGTTATGAGAAAAAGTTGAATGAAAGTAATCGCTAAACATTTTACAAATTACTTCCCCGTTATCAGACACGCGATTTGTATATTTAAGTATAGCAGGATAGGTGTTATTATTATTTTTTTGTTTTACATAGGACCAGAATGCTTTAGGATTAGTAGTGATGTTTTTTTCAACATTATCAATATATTTATCATACATTTCTTTTTCATTCTTTTTCATTTATGGGGGATATTTTGACGACGGGGTTACTAATTTAGAAGGTATATAATCTGTACGCAGGTTATTTAACACACCGTAGAAAAATGAAACTGCATCATTTAACGATCCACGACGTAATTCGAGATTCCAGTCAATTTCATTAATTGAAGTGTTAATTGAGTCATAATCACCATACTGATAAAAGTGTTTTGTATAAGGCCGCGATTTAAGAGGGCAGATTCGCACAATTTTCGATGAAATGCATAATGCTGGGTGATACGCATCTTCTGGCACTAACGGATTACAGCAGCGACTTACAGTGACTCCACTAGTCGAAAATACTAAATCCAAGATTTTACCGTAATTGTTAACTATATGGTTATACTGTGATAAATTACATACGTTAATAGAATCATATAAATCTCGTTGAGCAGAACCACTAACACTCACTGGAACAAAAGACCCAACAACCGTCGCGTCAGCTACCCACGTCAAGTTAGATGAATTAAAGTCACCGACAACGATTACCTGATCGCAAGGATTATTCAAAACAATATCAGAAAGATGCTCAGAAAATAGTGTCAGTTGGTCTGATAAGGAGTTGTCCATATTATCATCACATATATATACAGTACATAAGTTAAGTTTAAATGTAGTTTTCGGCTTCTGGTGTTGAATTTTAAGAGTCACCCACAAATCTTCAGCAGTAGAGCACCAGTTAGTTTGGACGGCAGCGTTGAACTCTTTACGTACGGCAACTAGTATTCCACCACCCAAGGATTGTTGAGTTTTAGAATAATTCCGGTCGCGCCTCCATACGATGTATCGATTGTCAAATAATTCACTGTCTTTTATACCTTCCAACAACCAAGTTTCTGTTAAACATATGACATCAAACGAATTCAAACAAATGTTTCTATAGAAATCAGATGTTTTGGTGCGTAAACCACGTACGTTCTGGTAGTAAACATCAAGCATTTTTAAAACAAGATGTATAATGTACTGAGTGACATAACTTGTAATGGCAAATTAGGTAAATATACGTTGTTAAAAAATAATTACATCGTGACATCGTAAGGAAAATATTAAAAAATACTAAACAGAGCATCAAAGCACCTGGAATATGAATGCGCTTACCTCCTATTCGCGTAATAAACATTATAATACCCGTGCGCCAAAGCGAACAAGCGCAACAGGTGAGATAAACAGAAGCAAAAGCAGGTAGCTGTACGTCGAGCATTCGAGTAAAATAACATGATCGCGAAATATAAGTGTCCACGCGCACGCGCTGATCACGTGATAGGCGAGTTAGCGAGAAACCAGCGGCTCTCAAACCACAACATGAGTCATTAATACATTGTACACAAACATTTAGCCATTTTAAAAATTGTAATAAAACAGCTAATAATAAGAACAAATTTAAGGTAAGCACGATATAGCTCAAACGTTTAACGCGTAATATTAGTTCAGCTAATACGATATAAATTAAACAGTTGAAAAGCAACTTAACAAAAAATATGGAGAATATTATAACTATACTAACTTTTTTAAGTCTGCTTCTGATTTTATAACTATGACGTGGGAAGTAGGGCTTTTTCTCACATATATTTTGCACCCTTTTACCCACGTATACGCAAAATCCTTCTCTTTAGCCAGTGTCTTCACCTTGTTAAGCAGAAGTTTATCCTCCAGATTGAGATGATCGTTGACAAATATCCTGTTATTCCCGGAGAGATTCAGGTCTGCTGGAACAATAGTGCTCTTCCTTGCTGCAGCCACGAAGTCCTCCTTGTTATATCTGTTATGCACTGATACTATTATTGTTTTATTAACTTTGTCATTTCTCATGGGGATCCGAGCTATATAGTTTATTTGTTCCCTGGGTATAGGACACTTAATGTGTTCACCGAGTTTGGCGAAAATCTGGAACAGATTTTCAGATTGAGTTACGGGCACTCCCTTTATCTCAATATTGTTCATACGAGATCTTCGTTCCCCATCTCGTACCAAGCCCTCCAATTTCTCCATTCGCTGTTGCAGATGTTGAACTTCGTCTTTTGTTTTGAGTAGTATTTGGATTTCTTTTTCGATATTGCATATCTTACTTGATAAAGTGTCAACAGAATTATGCACATAATTAAGCGATTCCTTTACATCCGTAAGGTTGGATTTTAGATTCTTCAGCTCAGCCAGCTCTGTATGAATGCTCTTAACGCTGTCTGCCAGCTGCGGAAGTGATGCAGTTATGGCTGACAAACGCTTTAATTCAGCCATCACGTCGTCCAAGTCCACAGGTGGGTTGGGACTCGTTGGGTTTTTGCAAGAGGCGCATCTCCAGGTGGCTTTCCTGTCACCAAGTTTACGAAAGCCCCCTTCCGTGATCCCAGCGCATGGGAAGTCATAATGGCAGCGACACACTGAGCACTGGACTCCATCTCTACATTCACTGTTACATCGCTTACATTTAAACATTTTAGTTATTAATTATTTTGTGATTGAAAACTTTGAGAATCACTGACTGACAGAGACAACAATAATAGTGGTATAAATACGTGTGTACGGTCCGGTGTCGACGGACGGAATGATTAATTGTGAGTAAATGATTTAAGATTATATACACATACACACAATAATGCATTTCATTATTTCAATATGGCATTCAGTTTTGATCGAAAACTCCAATTTATTTAACACTTTAGTACTTTTAAATTTATTGCAGAAATACTAAGTAGCGGTGGAGCTCCTTGTGTAGCCTTTGTCCAGGAATATACTGCCACCGAGCAGTAATGCGAGCGTTCGGTTTGGTTGGTGAAATTACGGGCACATGGGACTTGTCAACTTGTGACGGTGTGACCTCCTTACACCGTCATCTCACCTCTTTGTATCGCCTCTCTCCTTTTGTATCTTATTTTTTATTTATTTTACATGTATTTAAATTTTAAATTTGAATTGTTCCATCTTCCTTCACTTTCTCATTTTATTTTCGTACCACGGTCACTCCCAGCTCGACCGCCACAACAGTCAGAGCTGTTAATAAGCTAAGATAAGATAAGATAACATAAGATAAATTTATTTCAATATTAATTAATCTAATACAATTATAATGAAAACAATGTAATTGAAGATAAAATATTAAAATAAACAGTAATAAACAAAACAAAAAAATCTAAATTATATAAAATAATCATGGTAAAATTAAACATTTTAATCTTAGTGCCTAATAGTGCAATTGCGATGCCTAAACTAAGTACATGTGTACCTGTATTTTAGGCATAATAGTGCATTTTTCATAACAAAGCTTAAAAAAAAATAAAGATTTTATAAATTTAACAAATAAAAGATAAGTAGTTATAAGTCGTTACAATTTATAAAAGATAAGTAGTTAAACATTACATATTATATGAATATAAATTATGAAATAACTTCCAACAAGTCCTCGGTATCATTGTAGGTTTTACTCTTAAGCCAAAATTTGACGGTCTTTTTACATTCAGTTTTATTCATATGAAAATAATGCAAAGTAGAATTTATTTTAAAATAAAGGAATGTGCCAAGGAAGCAGAAGAATCTATGTGAGTGTGCTGTTCGGAGTTGTGTACGAGATGAAAAGGGATCGTGTCGTCTTTGCTTAGTTACAGTCATGTAATCATATGGAGTAATTGAGTGCTTTTTCAGCTAATCATGTATAATAATTTATAAGTCTACACCTTTCAATATCTATTTCTGTAATTCAGTTTCTCGGCCCATTTAGGGGTAAGTGCCTTAATAATAAGTGTAGGGAGTGTTTTATACTGTTGTATCTGTTTTTTTACATTTACCTTTTTATTGTTACAGCCCTTTCTTTAATCTTTACTTCATTATTAAATTTTGTGGACCAGAAGTTTCCCATTTCATTGCCGTGAACCTGTTCACGGCTAGTTAGGGTTACAACCCTTTCAAACTTAAGTCTCAGTGGTAGGCGCAGTGGCAGTGTCCTTCCGATCTTTGCGATTTAAAGCTGTGAGTGGCACTTCAACTGCCATGGAACATGCCAGGCGTGTCACTTAACATTTTGAATATTGTGAATTTGAATTTAACATCAGACACACGACCTGTCACTTGATAATGTAACCGTTCACGCCATACATGCAGCCGTAGACGCATACCACACCTAGAGGTGCCGGTGATGATTTTATACCGATTTATCGGATAATGAAGTTATAACAGGTAAACGAACTAATATTAATTGCTATTTCAGTAACTACTCTAGCAAACCATAAAGTTTTTAATGCCTGGGTCTGTCATTTAAAAAAAATAAACAACTTCAAAAACACGTCACGACAATCGTGTGTGTTATAGTTTGGGCTGGTGATTTCGGTGTTTATTTATTGAGAACATACCGTAAGTAGCGTTTTTTAAGTTTACTCTGAATATAAATGTTTATAAACTATACTTTAAGGAGTAATTTCATGGTAAACGATAGAACCACTCAAACGGAATATTATCATATTTATCCAAGTACACCAAAAATTTTATTAGTGCTTTTTAAGTGCAGGATTTGTGGTGTATTACTGCATTTTATTTGAGATGTTTTTGTTGTAGTACGGAGGGTATTTATTTAGCAATGCAGAATAATTATTTTTATTTATAAAAACTTGTATTTAAACTGAATCCTTTTCTAATTTGCGAAACCAAATAGCCGCCATTTTGCGGTAGGAGGAGCGCATCGTGTGAGCGGCTAAAAAAACTTTTCAATTTGCTAAACGCTATGCTGATGGCCATACTCAAAACGCTGTATCGCAAAGAAGGAACGAAGGCGGTTTACGCCGCGACACACGTACGCACTTTGACTCTGGATTTATACCGCCCTATTGTGATTTATCGTCTGTGTAAATGGGTAATATGAGTAAAGTAAATGACACCTTAAGTTATCTGTACTAAAGTTTATGCTGTTTTACTGTTTGTAAACCGTTTAGGCTAGGAAAGCCCAACGCTCAACCCCAATCCATTCCCAAAACTACCACTACAGAAAAAGTGTGTCAGGATATTGACAAATATAGAACAGAGAGAATCTTGTAGAGCTCTCTTTCAAAGATTAGGCATATTAACTTTAACGGTAAGGTATATACATATATATACTTGAGTCGTGCAAATTTATTAGAAACCATCCCACTTTATTTACCCCGAAAATTGAAAATAAACGTAACAACGGAAACCTACATCAACTACTTGTACGATTTTTCAAATTGGAATTAGTTTGTTCTGGACCGCAAATTATGGTAACAAAAATTTACAATCACATACCAAATATCTAAAAGAATTCCTCATAAATAAAAGATATTATAATATTAAAGAATTTTTCAATGACAAAATATAATTTGTTATGTAATGAATGTGTTTGTTCTCAATTTATCTTATGCATGTATAATTGTAATGATTTATTTAATACGATTACAATTTTATTGCTTTTATAATGATTAAGTGCCCTCATCGCTGTGCTGTGCCCTTACAAATGTGTCACATGTATATTTTCAAGCCACTGCACTTAATATAAGTGTGACAATGCAATAAATTAATGAATAAATAAACAAATGAATAAAATTTCTCCAACTCAAAAGGTAAAATACGCACTAACGAGTCATGGTCCATATGTTCTTCTTCAAAACCATTGTGGTTGCGGATACCCCACATGAAGTATTCTATTATAGTACAAAAACCACGAAAAAAATGTCCCAAGTCAACCTATTTAAACGTAGTGACATGTAAAGGAATATGAAAAAGCTAAAACGTTGAATTTAAATTGTAATGTCATCGCAGTACTGTCTAATTTTGCTTGCTTCGCTGTCAGTCGAACAACCGAAGACTAAAGCGTGAATGACGCCCTGTATACGATTTTAACGCACTATAAGTTCGGACACTTTTTAGCGCGGACCCGACGTCCATATAATTGTAAGTCAATGATGGCAAAGATCTGTGAGGCACTGCCACTGTGCCCGTCACCCTGAGATATAAGTTGACTAGTCCCATGTGTTTACCCTTCAATATCGGAACGCAGTAATGCTCAGACCGCTTGGCGACCAAAATAGGTACAGGGAGCTTTACTGCTACAAAAATTTTGTGTGCCACGTCCTAAAATGAAAAACACCGACGCCTAGACGCCTAGTTGCGGACACCAGCTCGTCACACCACTAACCCATATTATGTCTTGTAGTTCAACCATACAATGTGGTGGTACCTCAGTTGGAGAATGGTTTCAATTCAAATGTCAGAATAATCACGTAATATTAAACACAAAATACGGTCGAATTGAAAACCTCCTTTTTTGAAGTCGGTTGAAAATGTACAACCTATCGAGTTCTTAGGTTTTCGCGACAAACCAACTTTTCGGGCCCTTTACAGGTCCCGTGTTCATGGTTGGTTGGTTTGTTTGAAAAAACAAATATACGTGATTGAAATCCGGAAAACTAGTTTCTTTTCCAATGTATATCCTGTTAGATTTAAGTATTACACTTAGTACGACATTATTATTGGAACAAAGTGAATGTACCCACCGCGATGATTTCTAACTGCGTCATGAAGTTGGCGCGGTTACGTCTACAAAAAGCGAGAAAAGGACTTTTATTGTTGCTTCGTTCATTCAGTAGAGATTGCCACTTTATTGTATTTTTATTTCGTTATAACATATGTACACCAGCGGTGATATTATTTTCAGGAGAATGCTTGCCTTTTGTGAAAGGAGCTAAGTTTGTCATACACTTTGCGTGTATAATACACGCACAGATATGTGTGATTTTGTCTGCGTCTGCGCCCGTATCTGTGCGTTATCAATAAATACGCACAGCCACAACTAAGGAGCACATCTGTATCTAAATATAATAATATTAATAACAATAGCGCAACACACTTGTAGCCCCGCACTAGGGAAACCCTGTGTCGCGGGTGCCATGGACCACACATAGACGACCACAAATTAAACCCAAACTCACGAGAGAAATAAATGTAGGCTATACACATATTTCTCCCGGCCTGGGAATCGAACCCAGGACCTCTGCGTGGTAGTCCGGCATGGTAACCGTTCGGCCACAGAGGAAGTTCTATATAATCTAATATATACTATAAGATAAGTATGAAATAGATTTTAATTCGATTGTCAAGATTCCTCAAGATATCTCGAAGAATGTTTTTTAGATACTCTTTAGTAAAAGTGGGTACAACTTAATTAGTAGATCACAAGAGAATTCGGGAATGATTCCAAATTTATAAATAAGGAACCAGAAAGGTGATGATAAAAAGGTGGGATGGCGATGAAGGAAAGAAAGAAAGAAAGAAAGAAAGAAAAGTAATTTATTCAGCACAATACACGTGGAGTACAATATTAATAATTAGTATTAAAAGAGTATTATTGCACTGAAAAGGACCTAACTCAGCTAATACTGCGGCAGGGCCACAGCGCTGGTTTTCAGTGGACCCCTTTCGAAAATGCCGATTAAAAG